ATATGGGTGACAACAGGACGAGCAGCACGGTAGTATTCAGTAATAGGGTGAGGCGACGAGGCTGTAAGGGACGACTCAGGAGGGAAAGGGAGAACAGACTGAGGAGGAGAACGAGGAGGACTAGAACGAAACAGGACAGGGTGGAGGTCACTGACTAGGGACGAGGGACGAGCACGACGAAGACAACGAGTGGCCTTGGTGTGCGGGACAACAAAAGGAGGTGACTGAGACCGAGGAGGAGAGAAAACAGCTGGAGATGGGTCCTTGGGGGGGGGGGGGGGGAACGTAGGACCGTAGACAGGAGGAGACATTGAGCGGTCGAGAGGAGGGGAAGGAAGACCAAGGGCCTGAAGGCCACTTAAATGTGGAGACAACTACTGCAAAGGTGGCTGCTGTGGCTGCTCCTGCTGCGGCTGCGGCTACTGCTGCTACTGCCGCCGCTGCTGCTGTTATTACTGCAGCTGCTGTCACAACTCCTCCTCCTCATGCTGCTGCTCCTCCCGCTGCTGTATCTCCCGCTGCTGCTGCTCAGCTGCAGCCTCTCCTGCTCCAACCTCTGTTGCTCCTCACGCTCCAGCCGACGAAGCTCCTGGAAACGGGTCAGATAGCGGTGGGGAGGGGGAGTAGGCGCTGCAGAAGTGGCATCTCCAGCTCCAGCTCCCTCAGAACTAGCTCCTCGAGTGCCAGTACCGATGACTCCAACACCCCCAGGACTAGCACCTCTAGAACCGGCACCCCCAGCGGCAACACCGACAGCTCCAGCACCCCCTTGTCAGTACCCTCAGCTCCAGTGCCCCCTGCCCATCCTCTCTTCTCTGTATCCCAGCCGCGCCTGGTGCCGTGGTGGGGAGGGTGTGGGGGTGGCGAGGACCAAGCAGCCGCCCCTCTCTCCTGATTTCTCCTTATTTCACTTCGCATCGCGTCGCTTCGTTTCGGCTCCTCCACACCGAGCATCCACTGCGGTGGTTAAACCGCAGGCTGGCATAGCCGTGGGAGTCAACCACGATGGTCCAGCTGCGGCTTGGTGACTGCTGCTCGTCAGCTTGTGAGGGGGCCCCTTCCTGGTGCCCCCTAGCCTAGTGAGGGGATTTCACTTGTGTACCCCTTCACGGGGTGTTGCTGCACTTGGTCATCCATTGCAGGCCGTTAGGGGGTGTGTTAGAAAATGATATATACTATGTAGAACTAGTTGCAGTATAGACTGTAGTGTAGTATCTCATTTAACTATTGGTGATACACCCTCCTGCCTTCCCTATATCAATGTACCTCTTACCTATAGTGAATTATCTTCTTCCTCTTTCCTCTCGATAACCTCGCTTCTACCCTAGCCTAGGTTCCTACCTCCATGGTTCCTACGCTAGTCACTTTAACAGTTGGTTGGTTGGTTGGTTGTCAAGCCCACTTCTCTACAGTAGGTGGTGGCATGAATTTTCAGCACCATAGATAATTGTTAAGACGTGGTAGAATGAGGCGGTAAGGAGGACTGGTTTACATCTGACCAGCCAATGAGACCAGCTTATGGTGGCAGTGGGTGTTTGAAATGAGTCAAATTGGAGCTCACAACACAACCCACCACAGTGTTAAAAGGTGAGTCAAAAGGTGCCCCATACACGTGTCGTAGCGTGCTGTAACGAGGCAGCAATGGTGCTTATTTCTTCAGGCTAAGCTAATAAGCCAAGCATAGTGTTTGAAGGTGCTTTAGAGCAGGCCCACATGCATGACAAACCAGCAAACGATGCAAGGTGATCTAGCCACTTTGCATAGATCAATTTGCCTTATGGGTCGACCCAAACTTTAGAACGACCAGTTGTTCATGTGGCAGACTTGGGATCGATGCAGGGTGGTTGCCTCATCAGCTTGTTTGGACTAATGCATTAGCCGTTGGGCTTGGATGGGCAGGGGAGGGGGGGGGGGGGGAGGGGGGGGAAGGGGGGGAGGGGGAAGGGGGGGAGGATTTCGATATGGAAGGCTATTTTGAGCTTGTTGAGGCCTGTGATAAAATCTCACGGGCAACAGAGGTGTGGTGACGCAAACCTAACAAAAAAAAGTGTTCCATGTTTGGAACTGTGTTTCAGGGGGGGTATAAATCCAGGTGTATGGCATCATCAATGACATATCTAGTGCAACCTCTGTTGACTATGGTTTCTTGATCACATCCCTGACTTCTCTTTGAGAGTAATTCCCATTGCATCTCATCAAACTCCTCCTGCTCATGCCAGCAAAGAAATCAGTGCTCTCTCATGCAAAACAATTGGCTGCAACAAGCCCGAGACATCAGATCATGGCTTACGGGCTCCCCATGAATTGCACGCAGCGTGGAGCTTCAAAGCTGTCAAGCACTATGGAGAACCTGCGAGAATCGAATGCCCTTCGGAAGAGGCAAGCCCGTGTGTTATTCCAAGCATTGGAAATCCACCTCAAGGCTTTCTTTTATATGTACTCCTTTCAGTCCTTTGTAAAGGAACGTAGAGGGGCCTATAAGTTGGGGGAGAGATTTTCTTAAAATTAGGCTAATGTCATTATTGACTAAACTTTGTTGGGGCTGTTTGTGAACCATGGGGTGTATGCCTTGTTCAAATGGACAGCCACCTAATGAATTATATCCATAAAACCCCTAGAATAATGAGAGTTACGGTGTGCAACTATAGTGCGCTTCATTAATCACAATAAAAGCCACCACCAACATATTCACAAGATGCGCGGAGCTGATTACAACTGATCTTCATTCACCACATTACAACGATATGTTTGCAGTGGGAATGGAGGATGATGGTCATACTTCTTTCGATGGCAGTTAGGTTAATGATGAACAGAAATGGGCTTGGTAAAGGAAAACACTGTCAGAATCAGCCACTATACCAGTACGCTTGGCTGGGATTATGAAAAACACTGCCTGTGATAACATACTGATGCGGTAATTGAGTCGAATCGGCGCTACTGCATAATATGAGGAAGACGTGTGGAAAAAATGGGGAACAATCAGGCGGAAGCAACACCATACAGATAATCTATTTGAAAATAGTGATATTTAACTGGTCCGAATCAAATCACCCCATCGTCGTGCGTCCTCTCGATCATTGTCGGCCATATGAATAAGGGCTAAACCCACACCAAACTGATCGTCCGTCTTCTAAGCTGCAAAGCATGCCATGCCGGGGCTCATACGCGCTGATAGTCCAAATATATTTTCAGAACTCAAAATGGCATGGTGTGACCATTGAAACATGCAACTATGCATTCAACAATTAGTGTGTGTTTATTTTTCCCAAGGAAAGTTTCAGTCAAATAACGTTGTTTCATTCTTCTGTTCACGTCGATTGCACATCGCACTGTACCGCATTTGACACCACAGGTCATCCTTGCATTTATGCTTTCAGCTCAGACGTCAGACCTATTTTTCCCCCACCTTCTCACAATCTCTAGGTCACACACCTGTCCGCTCGCACACAATATTCCCTATTTTCGGTGCTTTCGCGAATGTCACATCTCTCCGCGCTTGCCGCACGACGCCACCGTAGCCGAGTCCGGGCGCATATCCCCGCTGGCGACGCGCCGTGCGACCCTGTGCGAGGGAGCGTGACGTCGCCGCGGTCGCGACACTGGACAGCACACACCGACGGCACGAACCTCGAAGTTGCCGCGACTGCTTCCGCCGGTACTATCTCAGCCGCGTCGTCGAATAGCGTTTTCGGCGATGTAGGCCCGTTCGGCGACATAGAGTTCGGTCGCGCGGCTGAGCGCGGCGAGTTGCTGCCTTGGAAGGAGCGGCTAAAACAGAGACAGCTTGAAGCGCGTCAGAGCCACCGCGAATCACTGCAGGTGGGGCCAGAGCGTCCTGCAGTTGGGTAAGGTCAGGGCTGTGAGTTGCGAGGAGCAGTTATGCTTTCACGACCAAGTTACAAGTGCTTTCAGCTGGTTTTTATTACGGGCCTATGTACACAGTTTCTTAACCTTTTTTCTTCTTCTTCTTTCCACCCTCTGTGACGTCGGCTCTTGCTCTATTCTTCCCCACCCTTCCGCTCCCCCCACATCAGGGACCCGCGCTGCAGGCGCGCCTGCGCCTGGACCAGCGCCTGCGCGCAGCCGGGCTCCGCCCTCCGCCCACCCTAGAGGAGCCTCCGCGGTTCCCCGGGGGGTCAACTTCCGCTGTCCTCTCTCGGCCAGTAACATACGGCCACGTGGCAGAAGGGTCCATGATGACTGCTGCGGTGTTGGCTCCCAGAAGCGTCGTCCAATCAGCTGCCGTGCTGGCGGCTGGCAGGGTGTTTACAGACGACCACACCGCAAGAGACAGGGCGTTTTCGGGTATTACCCAGAATGGGATGGGAGCACAGTCTCGTGGCGGTGAGGGTAGAGAAGGAGGAGGGGGAGTAGGAGAGATGAGAAGAATTAAAGTGCGGGGGGTTAATGAGCGGGAGAGGATTGAAGAAAGCGGGGGCGGGAGCAGCAGAAGCAGCGTGAGGAGGCAGAGTGGGAGCAGTGGGAAAGCGAGTCTTGCTGTAGCTAACGAGCTGGTTGAGCTTGGTGATCGCGATGGTGGGGCCTGTGACGCGAGCAGCAGGAGTAGTCGAAGCAGCAGCAGCAGCAGCAGCACGAGCAGTACCAGCAGCAGCAATAGGAGCAGGAGTAGTGGTGTCAGCAGCAGCAGCAGTGGTAGCAACAGCAGAAGTCGGAGTAGCAGCAGCAGTCACGAGAACAACAGCGGGCGTGCTGGTGGGGAACGAAGCGTAGCACAGCACAGCAGACACCAGCGGCACAGTAGCAGCAGCAGACATGCCAGAACTAGTGGCAGCAGGGAAAGGAGTAGCAGCCACAGCCACCACCAACACCACCAGCATCTGCACCATCACCATCACCACCATCACCACCATCAGCAGCAACATGATCTAAGTGGCGGCAGCAGCGGCAACAGCAGGAGTTGTAGGAGGGGCAGTAGTAGTCATGGCTCTCGTGGGGTTGGCGAAGGGATCAGTGGCAGCAGCACCGTGGGCAATAGGAACATGGGTGCAGGATCAGATTCTGCTGGATTTGCAGCGGGTGATACTGTTGACAATGCGTGTGATGGTATACAACGTTTGGCGCTCACACATTCTGGTAGATTTGATCCTGGCAAGGGGAAGGGGAAGGCTGTTGTTTCCAGTCATGCTGCTGGCGATGCAGCAATTGATAGTGAGGGAGATGAGGATGGGATTATGGGTATTGTGGATGGGCAGGAGTGCACTGTGTGTTTGGAAAGCATGGGGAATGGAGCCCGTCTGATGTGGTTACCATGCGCGCATTGTTACCACCACGATTGCATTATGCCGTGGATTATGGGAGGGCATTCAAGCTGCCCCTGTTGTCGTCACCCTTTATAGTGCTCGAATGCCATGCAGTGTACAGAGTGCAGCTCCCCTACAACGCCTATGATATGTTCTCACCCTTGTTTTCCATCCCTTGGACTGACATGGCTAAGTAGCACTTCAGGACCAGTAGTGTATTCCTTCTTCCTCCCTATACCTTTTCTTCTTACATATCGACATTACTGTACATCCATAAGCCTCCTTGTTATGCTTCTGAAAGTTCGGCAACAGCCAGCCTCGCATCTTTCGGACAAGCAGGGTCTCACGTCACCAACGCGCGGGCTGACACAGCATTCTGCCTCAGTGTCCAGCTGGCAAAGTGTCGGCCACTCAACGACCCACACATGCCAGCGAGGTGGTCCATCTCCTCGAAGCCATCTCCAAGATTCCTCCACATTCCAGGAACCAGAGAGCTGGCATGGCAGCATGGCATTTGTGAAATGGATGGAACTTTACTTTCCAAGCCTCATGGTGGCTTGCCTTCCTGAATCCTTTCTCATAACTCCACTCCAAAAACATTTCTTAGCACAGCTGACATTTCACCATCGTCATTTTCCAGGATTGTAGAACGACGGGGACTAACTTGCTTTTCTTAGCATACAAGGCGTTTCAGCGTACAATCAGACCTGCTTGGCGTCTAAGGTACAGAAATGTCGCGTGCCGTCAGGTGTTGCTGTTCATGTATGGCTACCTTTTGCCGTCCCAATGCTTCTTGGGTTGTAGCTTAGAAAAAATATTGCTGTATCAGCTGATTGTTTGGGCATTCTTCATGCCAATACCATGGCACTCGACTCGTAGCCTTTTTGTGAATGAGTTCTTTTCCCTTATCAGTTGAGACACAATTTCGGTGACTCACTGATTCGCGGCTCCCTTCGCAGTTCCATTGTTCTGGAATCCAGTTCATGCAAACTCCTTGCTAACAAAACTCGTGAGCCATATCATAAAATTTCATTCACCACCTCCCTCCTGTTACTCTACCTCTTGCTCTTTCGTGTCGTTTTCCTCTCGCCTAACCAGATGGCGTCTCAGCCGTGCTGCGCGCCTGTCGCCAGCGGCGCGCTTTCCGTGCCATCCGCGTTACAGGCAAATGCGACATCCGCCACCAGCGCGAGCGCCAGTCTGTTCCCGTCACATACAGGCCTGCACCAGTCGCGCCGACCGGCGCACACCGCCTCCTCTGCTGCCATTTTTCCTGAGGTGATTAATCTATGGTTACCCTATGTAACCTGACTGGTTGGCACGGTCGCCATAAACTGTTACCTACAGAAACAATCGCTGGCTTCTCTTACATTAGCGTTTGGTGACGACTATATCCTGAGAACTTAGCACCATTGTGTTCGCAGCGAACTTGCTCGCTCCACTGTATCCCATCCGACTTGCGTTCCTCCCGCATTTTTTCCCAATCCGCTCTCATTGTGCAACATGTGGTGCGAGTGTAGCGCAACACTGGAAAGAAGCAGAGGCAGAACCAGAGGAAGAGGGTGTTGGGGGTGCGAGCAGCCGTCGCACAACAGCAGCCAGAGGCACCGATCGTTAAAGAGGTCAGTAACAAGCGCCAGCTGAGAGCGCCGAACACCTGATGCTGCTGAAGCGAGCTAGATATTCAAGAAATTCGAGAGCGACTGTCTTTTGGGGTGGAAGCAGTGTCAATTTCCATGTTAATAAAACCGGATGTCGTGTGGGCTTCTCAGGACGTTATTATTAGGGAAAGCCTTGGTTCCACACAACCGTCTCCGCCCATCCTCTCCCTGGCTTGAGTTGCTCTGGAGGAGGACGCGCGGTTGATGCGCGTAACAGACGACAACTTCACTCTTCCCCCGTCCGCCTTCCCGGCTACCCTCCTTCCCTCCCTCTGTCCCCGCCCGCCTCCCTGCGCCCTCCCCCAACCCCGCTCCCGCCCTCCCCATTCCCCTCCGGCAGGAGAAGGACGTGCGCGCGGTTCGGCTGACGGACGACACGTTCACGCTGCGCGGGCGGTGCTACGAGCGGTTCAAGTTCGAGGTGGAGTACGGGCTGCGCGCGGGCACCACGGAGAACAGCTACGTCATTGAGGGGCCCCTGGGCGCCGCGCTCATTGACGTGCCCGACAGGGCCTTCGCGCGGGCCTTCGTGGACGCGTTCGTGCGCGAGGCCAAGGACGCGGAGCACCTCGCGTATCTCATCATCGGGCATCTGAGTCCGAAGCGCGTGGACAGTATTATTGAGCTCGCCAAGACACACCCGCTTACAGGTCAGTGTTGAGGCTTGTGACTCTCGCACGGCGTTCGTGGTCGCGTTTGTGCGCGTGGCTAAATAACGCTAAGATGCGCGCGGGAGACACGCTCGACCTGGGCGGGGGCATGATCGGTGCATGATCTGTGACCGCTCTACACTGCAAACTTAAACACATGCCCCATCCGTTGCCATGCCTCTTCCCCGCCCCCGTCCCCCCTTCCCCGTGTCGCCCCACCCTCCCGCCGCCCCCTCCCACCTCCGCACACCAGAGCCGCCCATCAAGGTATTCCTTTCCAACCCGGCGCACCAGACGCTCACCTCGTTGGTGCCAGCAGACATCCTCGATGCAACATTCGACCTGCAGATCGTGCGCGCGGGAGACACGCTGGACCTGGGCGACGGGCACAACCTGCAGTTCATCCTCACGCCCACGCCCCGCTGGCCCGACGGACTCTCCACCTACGACCCCAAGTCGCAACTCCTCTTCACCAACAAGCTCTTCAGGTCCGAGTGCCTTGTAGCCACTAGGCTCTTCATATGTAAGCGCGCTTGTCTGCGTGGGCATAACTGAGGACTTTGGTTTGGTGTTGGCAGCATAGAGGGGTATGGGCACACTTACACTCTCACTCTCACCCCTCTCACTCCCCACCTCCCTCCTTTCCTTCCCACTCACGCTCTCCCCTTCCTTCTCATAGAGTGGGATGAAGGCACACTCACGCTCTCACACTCACACTCTCGCTCTTCTACCCCTCTTTATCGTGTCCTGATCCTCGATTCCATTCCCCCCTCTCTCCCTACTCCCACCTTCCCTCCTCCCCTCTTCCTCCCTCTCCCACGCTCCGCCCCTCTCAACCTCTCTCCACCACTTCGCCCATAAAGCACGCATGTGTGCAAGGGGGAGGACTTTGACGTGGGTGGCATAGAGGTGTACGACATGCACTGGCGCTACTTCTATGACTGCATGCTCGCCCCCGTCGCCAAGCAGGTACGTACGCCTGCCCGCATGCTCTCTCGCCCCGTGCGCCCCTATCATGCGTGCCCTTGTCTCGCTCCCACGCTCTGTCGCCACCGAGCACGAAAGCTCCCTTTCACCCTTCCAGCCCTAGCCCTGTCTTGCAATCCTCGCCCTATCATCTATCCCGCATGCCCTCATACACCCCTTAAGACCCAATTCTGAGGGTATCCACCCTTCGCTCTCCTCTCTCCCAGTGTGCCTCCCATCCCAGATGGATGCGGCCCTGAAGAAGCTCCCAGTGGTGGCCCAGTCCGCGCCTCCCATCCTCATTTACCCTTCACACATCCCCCTCCTTTGCACCTGCACACCTCCCCCCCACCGTGTGCCTCCCATCCCAGGTGGATGCGGCCCTGAAGAAGCTCCCAGTGGTGGCCCAGTTCGCGCCTCCCTGCTACTCGGGCAAGACAGGCCTGGACGTCGTCAAGGTGAGCTGATTACCACACCGTGTTACATCCTGTTGTTACATTGCATCTCACCCTTGCACTTGAGCTGGTGTGCCTGTCTCCGGCCTTTCTGTCGACTCAGGTTTCACCTTTTCCTCCACCCTCCCTCTTCTCCCCATCCCCGTCACAGCTCCTGAAGAACCCTTACAGCCTCATCATGCCCTTATATAGTAGTTGGTGTACCATTCTCCTCACTTACCCTCCACCCTCGCCCCTTCCACCACCACCACCACCACCACCACCACCACCACCACCACCACCACCACCACCACCACCACCACCACCACCACCACCACCACCACCACCACCACCACCACCACCACCACCACCACCACCACCACCACCACCACCACCACCACCACCACCACCATCCCTCTCCACACCCCCCAGGCGGACTGGGTTTCATCTTCTCACGCCGTTCAGCCTCGACATCGCCATGACTACTTATTCGACTCGAAATCCGTTCCTCCCTGCACTACCTTCCCTCTTCCCCCCACCTCTCGCCCACCCCTCCCACCATCCCTCCCTCCCTCCCGACACGACACGGCACCCCTGCAGGCGGACGTGGGGTTCATCTTCTCGCGCATCCTCTCTGCGCTCAACCTCGACATCGGCACAGCGGCCAATCTGCGCCTGAAAGTGGGCAGCGATAAGAAGGGCGCCGTGCCGGGAGTTGGGGGCGAGCCGCTGGTGACAGCAGCCATCTGTCCCCTGCATGGCCCCATCATCCGCAACAGCGTCACCGAGCTCGTCCGCGAGTACAAGATTGTATGTGGGGGTTCAGTGAGGGCGGTAAGAAGGTAGGGAGATGGCTGCTTCGTTGTCTATGAAGGTTCACCCATCCACCCATTTTCCTTTCCGTGTTTCCACCGTCTGCAGTGGACGGACGAGAAAATCAAGCAGGCGGAGGAGGCCACAGTGGCCGTGTTCTATGCATCAGCCTATGGCAACACCTCCGCGCTTGCACAAGCCATCAGGTACCACCTCCCATCATCCTCTCACAAGCGCGTCAGATAACACCTCCCTCTTCCCCCTTACACGTGCTAATCAGGTAACACCTCCCTCTTCCCCCTTGCACGTGCTCATCAGTTAACACCTCCCTCTTCCCCCTTGCACATGCTCATCAGGTAACACCTCCCTCTTCCCCCTTGCACATGCTCATCAGGTAACCTGATTCCCCCAATCTTAGAAGTCAGTGTTGAGACAGTTACAAAATGGCAACAGGACAACCTCAATACGCCCATCTTTATCCCCTCTCCCGTCACCCCCTTCCCCCGTGCCCCTCCCTCTCCCCTCCCTCCTGCCCTGTTCCCCTCTCCTTGCCCCGGTCGTGGGTTGCTGCGAGCAGGGGTGGGAGTGGAAACAATCAACTTTGAGATGGCGTCAGTAGCGGAGCCCAAGTCCGCCATCTGTCTTCCTTCTTCCCTCTTCCCCTTTCCCTCCTTCCTTTTCCCCTCTCCCCTTTCCCACCCTCCCTACCCTCCCAGACGTGGGTTGCTGCGAGCGGGTGTGGGAGTGGAGGCAATCAACTGTGAGATGGCGTCAGTCGACGAGCTCAAGTCCGCCATCCAGCGGCTGCGGCTTCAGCTGTGTGAAACGCTTCGAAAATTGCTTAGTTCTTCTGCCCCGAACCTCCACCACTAACCCTCCTCTTCACCACCCCATTTCCTCCCCTCCTCCCCTCCCTCCCGTCCCCTCCCCTCGCCCCCCTCCCTATCCCCCAACCCTCTTATCCCAGCCGTGGGCTACTGCGAGCGGGAGTGGGAGTGGAGACGATCAACTGTGAGATGGCGTCAGTCGAGGAGCTCAAGTCTGCCATCCAGCGCTGCTGCGGCTTCGTGTGCGGCAGCCCCACGCTGGGCGGCCACATGCCCACGCCCATGAAGGAGGCGCTGGGCGTCATTCTCAACGAGTCTGCTGCCAAGGGCAAGCCCACAGGCGTGTTTGGGTCGTTCGGGTGGAGCGGGGAGGCGGTGGATGAGATGGAGCAGTTGCTCAAAGATGGCGGGTTCTCCTTTGGATTCCCGCCCATCCGCTGCAAGTTCAAGGTGGGCAGGGGGAGGCACTGAGGAAGGTGCTGTGTGGGTGCTGGGGGCTTTTTGTTGTGCGTTGGGTGGTGTGTTGGTTGGTGTATTGCACGCCTCGTGTGTCCGTACCTCTGCAGTTTCATATCTCCAGCTTACACCTGCGGTTCCGCTTCCTCCATCTCTTTCCCTCCCATCCCTCCCGTCCCACCCGCTCTCGCCTCTCCCACCCGCTCTTGCCTGTCCCACCTCTCTCTCTCTGCCCCGGTGTGCCAGCCAACGGAGGGCATGCTGCAGATCTGTGAAGAGAGTGGCCGAGACCTCGCCAGGGAGGTGAGTCATTGCACTGCCCGCATTGCTCATGCTGCCCGCAGTGCTCATGCTGCCCGCATTGCTCATGCTGCCCGCATTGCTCATGCTGCCTGCAGTGCTCATGCTGCCCCTGTTGCTCATGCTGTCCACAGTGCCTTCCCGGAATGCCTGCTGTGGCTGCACTGTCCGCAGTACTGAAAAGCACTTAAAAACTGTACTGTTCGCGCTGTTCTTTGCACCCTACACCATTTTTTGCATTCTTGTTATCGTATTCACCTTTCCCCACCTCTCTCCATCTCTCTCGTCCCTCCCGCCTCTCTCTTTGCTCAGATCCGCAAGGGCAAGGCCAAGCAGCGCAGCACATCGGCCAAGTCAGCTGTGATATCTGGGTCTGGTTTGGAGCAGGTAAGCTACTGAAATGCTTGGCTTTAAGCCACCTGTGAGAATCGGAAAGCATTAGCCAAGTCAGGTGTTGTGGCTTGGTCAGGAGTGGAGCGGATGGATGCTGGAATAATGACAAGCCATTTAGACAAATTATGCACACGGGTACAAAACAGTGGGTAGACCAGTGGAGAGCGGCGGGGTCATGCGTTATGTCACGTGGGTCATACAGCGGCGCTCACAGCGCCATGGATGGTGTGCCGTGCCCACTCACAACTTCCTTCACTCCATCTTCTTCAATTACCTCCATCCCACCGTCCGCCATCCCCTCTATGCATCAAACACCTACATCACTTCCGATAATTTTTGTCATTTCAATTTCCTCCATCCCCTCAACCCCCCCTCATGGCAGGCGGTGGGGCGGGTGGTGGGGTCGCTGTGTGTGGTATCAGCCGTCAGTGGCGACGGTGACGCTCAGAGCGCCATGCTTGCCTCGTGGGTCTCCCAGGCCTCCTTCAACCCGCCTGGCCTCACTGTTGCTGTGAGTCCCTCCCCCCCATGCCCTGCCATACCGTGCCATGCCATGCCATGCCCCTTCTATGTCAATCCTCGTTCTCCGCTATGTCATGCCTATCATGCCATGCCCTTCATACCATTGCCCCACCATACCATGCCCTTATCATGATATGCCCCCACCATGCCATGCCATGCCCCCACCATGCCATGTCATGCCCCCCCCACCATGCCATGCCCCCACCATCCCCTGCCCCACCTTTCCATGAACCTACCTTCTCCACCTCCCTTCCTCACCATTTTCCATCCCCTCCTGCACCCCCTCCTGCACCCCCTCCTGCATCCCCTCCTGCACCCTCCCGTAACCTCCTTCTCCCTTGCCCTCTATCCATGCTCCCCTCTTCCCCTCCACATGCCTCACTTCCCCACATGCCTCACTTCCACATGCCTCCTTCTCCACATGCCTCTCCCCACAAACTGTCCTGCCCCCCAGGTGGCAAAGGAGAGGGCGCTCGAGTCGTTGGTGCTGGTGGGGGCCATTCCCACTACCCATGAGCTTCCGTCCTCACCACCTGCACCTCTCTGCGTGCCCACCCTCCCCCCTCACACCTCCCCGCAGGTGGCAAAGGAGAGGGCGCTGGAGTCGCTGGTGCTGGTGGGGGGCAATTTCGCCCTGAGCGTGCTCGGGGAGAAGAACGTGGGCGCAGTTTCCAAGCAGCTTCTCAAGCCGTTCCAGCCCGGGGAGCCTAGGTTCGGCGATCTACCAACCAAGCAGGCCAGCAACGGCGCCACCATCCTGGCAGATGCGGTACGTGTGTGAGATGCCGGTGATGCCGGGAGGACATGGGATGCCTGGAGGACATGGGGTGCCTGGTGATGCCCCATCTTGTTCGCTGAATGTGCTTTTGAGTCAGGAGCTCTTATCCCTCAGCAGCAGCAGCAGCAGCAGCAGCATCACCAACTTGGCTGGTGTTGTTTCTGTGGTCCCCAAAATCCCTGTGCTTGCGCATGTAGCAGATGACTTTGAATGGACACACTAGCACCCTAGTGAACCACGTTCCCATCCCTCCCACTTCCATTCTTTCCACATCAGAAACGCTACATGGAGTGCACGGTGCAAACACTCATGGAGATGGCCGACCATTGGGTCATTTACGCCAAATGCATGTGCTAACAAGTCTCCTTGTTCTCTCGCTGTCTCCTTCCAACCGAATGTGTCAACGTGCAATTCCACATCAGATCTCCTACATGGAGTGCACCGTGCAAACGCGCATGGAGACGGGCGACCACTGGGTTGTCTACGCCACCGTCGATTCAGGCGACATCATGGTTAGTCCCTCTCCCTCTCCCTTGCTTTCTGCTCCTGCCTCTCCCTCTCCCTCCCTTAAACTGCCCCTTTCTCTCCTCACTCTCTGCTGCTCCCACCCACTTCACTCAATAAACTGCCACTCTCTTTCTCACTGCCAATACCGTCTCTCTCCTATTTCCCTCTTTTGAAGCTCCTCTCTGGAAAGGGCATAGCAATGCAGGCCATGTCCATTCCCTCTGATCACATGTTTTGCACATGTGGTTGCAGCTTAAACTTGCTACGCTGTCTCTCCTTTCTTAGCCCTGATACGTCTAAAATAAATTTCTTATCCCTGTAGTGCTGCGACCAGATAGTTGCTTGCATAGCTCCCTTATTTCCACTCCTTCGCATTTTGCGGGCATTTTGATTCATACTCCTCTATTTCCTGCCCGGCCCACTAACAGGACGAAAAGACCCTCACAGCACTGCACCACCGCAAGACCGGCAGCCGTTACTGAAAAGAAAGTCTGCTTACTTGGTTTGGTTTGGTTACTGTAGTGTTCTTCAAAGCATCTTTCACCTGAATACTTGTGCTTGTGTGATATGTTTGGTACAAAAATCTGTGCTGTTTCCAACAATCATCCGAGCATTGGTGTGGTGGCGTTTGTGCCAATCGAGTAAATATGATTGTGGGGGTTAAAACCCGCGTCCCAAATTGCGGGCCGCGAGGGTCAAGTTTTTAAAACTTGACGAAGTTGAGTGTCCAAGCTTTTGAAAGTCACGCACTTGCAATTTGGGACTTTCGAAGACAGATTCACTCACCAGGGGGGAAACCGAGGGTTGGCTGGGTCTCGCGAAAAAACCGAACCTAGACGAAATCGGAAACTCTCGCCAAAGCCCACACCAGAAAAACTCCCTCTGGTCAACTTTTAAAAGCATGAACAATTTGGGCCACCGGCTTTAAGTCAGTGATTAAGTGCGGAATGTAAATTCTACAGATGTTTTACTGTTTTCTTTCCTTAACTGTTTCTAGAGATGGTATGTACTAAGGAGAGGGGCTTTCCAATGTCGCCAGCAGATCGGCCTGAAGCCTGAATATTTAAGAGTTTCTAGATCTGTCGGGAATCTTGGGGATTTGCTCGGTTGGTGTGTCACGTCGCTTTAGCACTTTGCCACGGACTCACCTTATCCAGCGCCACATCATTTGACGCCATCGCTGACGGCCCTCGTGGTGACTCCCCTGGTTCAGCTTGTTGCCGAGCCTGGGCTCGAAATTCGTGGTTCGCGAGAGCGTTACCCTCAACTAACTCGTTTCGCAAATCACATCCAATTTTGAGGCACCTGCTGGTTTGACGACACAGCTACCGCAGTTCGCTTTCGCGGCACGCTGTCGTGAGCCCAACCGTACTTGGCACGTGGCAGCGTCAGTTTGAGTACGGGTGGCGGGAAGCTATCCATACCTTTCGCTGTGCCAGAATCATAGCTGGCTAGACGAAATTCCACGTCATTTTTGCGCTCGTCATTCACGCCTCGACTTTTCTCATCCACCCGCACCGCATCCAGCTGCTCTAACATCAAGCCCAGAGGGCCACCGCAAACAGAAATTCCCTTCCGCCTATCCGCGGAAAGTCGCGATGATTCAGAAGCCACCGCAAACAGAAACTCCTCCCCGCTCATCGGTTGTTTCTATGCGCGCTCGCCTCGAATACTTGCGCTTCCGCCAGGTGCGGTTGCGCCCAATGCTGAAGTGCGCTAGCGCGAAGGGGAATTTCGCGACCTTCAGGAGGAAGCGCTGCTTTTGGGTTTGAGTTGTGGCTGGCATGAGTCAAGACCAGCACACGCTCCGTCACCTGCTCTCCCTCCCCCCTGCCCTCACCGCTGTCATACCCTTCCGCTGAGCTAAGCTCGACCTTTTTCGAACTTGCCTCGTCACTAGAACCAGTCCTTATACCTTTTTGTCTCGAGCCCCCAAGCCGCCGTTTTCGAATTGTCTTATTAACTCGACACAAACGCCGTCTGGGGCACTTTTTCTAAAGTAACCGCATTAGAATCTCAGCAAATTAAAAAAGAATTGCCGAACCTGGTGTACGGTAGTTAATTTGCGGACCACGTGGACTAGCTTTGTCAGAAGCATACATAAAAGATGGAGCGTGTATTCTCAGTAGACGATATTCTCGGCACGTTTTGGAAAGTAGACGCATCGGGCGATGCCGCTGCGGCGGCTTCCGCCGCCGCAGCTGCTGCAGCAACCGGCGGAATGTTCTCCCCTCCCTCTATGCTCCCCCCCGGCGGGGTCCCCTTCCCCGGCCATCCGCCCGGTGTGACCGGAGGGGGTGGTGGCGGTAGCGAGTTACAGCGGCCAATACCGCGTACAGGCTCGTTCCACCGTATGAACCGCAGCTCCTCGGAATGGGCATTTCACGAATTCGTTAAGGAGCAGGGCTTAACCGGAGTGGGAGTATTAGGAGCCGCCGCAATTGGCGGCGGGGGCGCCGCTGGCACGTCCGGTATGGGTCCGCCTGGAATGAACCCGTTAATTCCGGGTCTAAGCCAGGTTTCGAGTCTCGATAAGCTGCTAGGAGACAGTCCCTCGAAGCTCAACCTCGCGTCGTACTATCGCGGCTTAGACGGCGGAGCGGAAGGCGCGGGAGGCGCGGCGGGAGTGGGCGCAGGAGCGGGGGCGGGAACAGGAAGCGGTGATGGCGCGGGGAAGCCGGGCGGAGACACAAGCGGGGAACAACAGCGGCTTGGGCTCATCGGGTTGGGGAGGGCCTCTGGGGGGGAGGCGGGAGCAGGGGCGCGGACGGATACAGAGGGGGGTGCTGCAGCTGGCGGCGACGGCGGCGGCTCAGCGGCCTCGGCTCCTGGGGGGGGTTCGGCAACTGTCGGTGGCGCGGGGTCGGCATCAGGCTTCTCCCCGCCGTCGGCGGCGCCCACTATGGCTCTCGCCCCAGGCGGCGCGGCAGCAGTCGCAAGCGGCGGCGGCGGTGCGGGGAGAAGAACAGCAGGCATAGCCAGCCCTCCTCGTCGTGGCTTTCAGGCCCATCCGCCCGCTCACAGACCCGCAACCCACGGCGCAACAGGCGCTACAGCACCCGGGGGAGCAGCCAGCGGGGGAAGAGGAGGTGGGGGAGCAGCAGGGGCAGGGTCCGCGCGCGGGCTTTCCTCCCGCGAGGCATCCGAAGAGCCGCGATCTGACGGCGAGGGCGCGCGGTCCGAAGGCGAGTACGAGTTAGTGGCGTCCCTAGAGCACCTAACGGACCCGGAGGAGATTAAGCGGGTGAAGCGCATGCTGTCGAACCGCGAGTCGGCGCGGCGGTCGCGGCGGCGCAAGCAGGCGCACGTGAGCGACCTGGAGGGGCACGTGCAGCAGCTGCAGGCGGAAAACGCGAGCCTGGCGAGCCGGCTGGGGGAGATTGGGCGGAAATACAACGAGGCGGCCGTTGACAACCGCGTGCTGAAATCCGACGTGGAGGCACTGCGCGCCAAGGTAAGGAGCGGATTAGGTTGAGGAGGGAGGTAAGGTAGGGAGTGGCTTGGGTCACGTTCGGAGGCGAAGCAGAGGAGTAGCTTAGGGCGGGTAGGTTTAGGCTCGCGAAATGTGGGGTTACGGTTGGGCTGGTTTAGGGTTTGGGAGTGTTGGGTGGATTGGACTAATGAGAAAAAAAATGACTCATCACATCCTCTCTTTGCCTGTGGGTGTGCGTGCGTGTATGTGTGTGCATGCGCCTACCTGTGCCTCTGTGTGTGAATCTTCCTTCCTTTCCTTCATCTCAGGTGAAAATGGCTGAGGAGATGGTGGGACGGGTCGCCCACATGGCACAGTACATGTATCACCAGCCAATGGCGTTCCGCCACGACGCAGCCTCCGCCGCCGCTGCCGCTGCCGCTGCTGCTGCCATGCCATACCCTTCGCCCATAGACCTTCCCTACTATCCCCGGCCCCACCGTGCATCCCAACCCCCACCGGCGCCTTACCCCCTCCCTCCACATGCTGCCGCCCACGCCGCCCAGGCTTCTCATGCTGCCCATGCCCATGCTGCCCAAGCCGCCCACGCCGCCCAGGCCTCTCATGCCTCTCACGCCGCCCATGCGGCCGCTCTGTCCCTCGATCCACACCAAGCCAATGGGCCGCCGGCATCTGCCATGCACCCGAACCTTCTGCCGGGCCTGGGGTTACCGCCAGGCATGGACCCAAACGCGTATGGTATGATGCAGGCAGGCATGGTGCCGGCAGGTATGGTGGGGTCCATGCCTGGTGCCGTACCTGGAGGTGATGGCTCGGGAGGCATGGGGGCACCTGGTTCGTCCTCTGCTGCTGCTGCCCATGCTGCTTATGCCGCTGCTGTGGCAGCTGCAGGCGCAGCAGCATCAGCAGGAGGAGGAGGGGGATTAGTACCTGGTGCGACAGCAGCAGGGGGGGGTGTAGGAGGAGGGGGGGGAGGAGGAGGGTCGCCAGCAGCAGGAGTGAGAGAGGGGAGCAACGGAGGAGGAGCAGGGGGGGGAGCAGGGGCGGGAGCAGGAGGGGGGGG